TGAACAACAACATATAAGTATTAACTCATTCCCCTACTCCTATGCCAGTAAAATCACAGGCTTGTACATAGCAGTTGTTTTCTGTTCTGTCCAGAAATTCTGAGGGTCTTCCCCTCCCACTTCTGTCTTTGGAATGGTAAATTGGGCCAATTATGTCTCAATTTTTACTCAGCTCTTACCCATTAAATGAGTGTGGCTTCAGGCAGACTGAGACCTGGGGAAGACCTTAATTTAGAAAGGCCAAGGTCATCCACTGTAACCTGGGCCACCCCTGGTTGTCATGACCTTTGTCTTGCCACTGGACTTTGGTGACTGGAGGAAAGAATGAGCCTGACAACTCTGGGCTGCTCTGTCTCGCTCAAGTCCAATTCACACGCTAGTCACAATAACAACAAAATCATAGGCCTAGTCCCTCGCCCTGCATTCATGTTCAAGGGAGAGGCATAAGTAGGCTGAAACATGACAAACCAAGGATTCTCCAAATGAAACTAAATTACTCAATCAACAAGAATTCGTTATGCTTCTACCATGTACCAAACACTGGTCTAAGGCCTGCGGACACAAAGAAAGGCAGAAATAAGTCCTGTTCTCAAGAAGCTCACATTCTAATGGAAGAGACAGGATGGAGACAAGTACACGTGGCCAAGCCATATCTCTAGGTCTGTCTTTCTATATTCCTATCTAATTGATGTGAGTAGGCGTAGATTTTATTTCTGTTTTCAGTGAATTTTTATCTTGTGTGTAACCTGCAAAGTATAAATCCATAAATGATATAGATGATAGTAGATATAGACATTAGGAATCGTCTCAGAGGAAAGACACTAAGATTAAGGAGAAGTGAAAAAGTTAGCTGAAACTTGAGGAAGTCACTGACACTGAGGAGGAAGAAGAGAGTTGTAGGCATGGGAGACAGCTGGTGAAAATGTGCCGAGTGGAGAAATGGAGGGCTACATGTAAGAAATAGTAAGGTGGCCGGTATCTGCCAATCACAAAGTATGTGGGAATGAATAAGGTGTGAGAACCTTGAAATGTTAGCAAGGGTCTATGTTATAAAGGGCTTTAAAAGTCAAATTGCACATTTTACATTTAATTCTGGAGGCAAGAGGGGGCTAGTTTGTTTCATGGAGGCAGGGGAGAGGGGTCTAACACGGCCAGGTCCACGCTTTACGAATATCACTTTGAAAGCTGAACAGAAGATGTTCTGGGGTAGAGAGAGACTCGGGGTAGGCAGAGTTACCCTCAGACTCTTACAAGTACAGGCTGGTGACTGACTTATATGTCCGCTGCCCAGAGAAAAGCCTAGCTCAAAACAGAAAGACTCATTTCCAGATTGTCCAAAGAGCGAATTTTTCAGCACCATCAATTATCAAGGACCCTCCATTAAGTTGTAGAGGAGCTGTTATCTGTGTCAGTGGATGGAGTTACCCACAATAACTAAATCACAATTTTTTGAATTATAGAATTATCAATAAGAAATGTGAGGTTCCTGATTTTTTTTAAAGACAGTACCTATAATCCAGTTCATTGTGTCCAAAACTATACAATATTTCTTAAGCAGTTCTAGAGGATCTTGTCATAAGTGCATCTGCTTGTTAGGAGAGAGGCATAATTTTTATTTTTATTTTTACTTTTGAATTTTTGCCTTCTGTGTAACATGTCAAGTTGTTGGTGCCCTTAGGCACGAAAAAATGCTTCAGAGGGAGAGTTCCCTGCCTTCCCAGACACCCTCTTTGAGATACATGTAGCTTTGCAAATGTAGACTTGTCCCATTACCCAAGGCAAATTAGCCATTTGTACTGGTTGAATGGAAAGGCTGTAAGTAACTTGAAATCATGTGTCATGTCTTGAACTCCTATTCCGCTTATGGTGAGCACTGTGCAAGGAGTCAAGCAAACATCCACGACTGCTTTACTGTGCAGTGCTAAAAGAACTGGATTTGGAGTCAGGGGCCCAGGATCACCTGGGTGACCTTAAGGTGTCACCTGACTCCTCTGAGTCTCTGTTTCCTCGTTTGGAAGATGAGGGGGTTGGCCAGCTGGCCTCTGGGGTCCTTTCCAGCTCTAAATCTTGGATCTGATGAATATGCCGGTTGACTCATTTTGTTGTTAGGGAAATCCTAGGGATGAAAGTACCTTTTTCTTGGACTTGTGGCCAACCATTCTTGGCAATGATTTGGTTTCAAACCTGGTTGTCCCCTTGTCTACATGTGTGATCTTGGTCAGGTCAGTCTGTGCATCATGGGATTGTGGAATTTGAACTGGACACAATCAGAGATGTCATCTAGTCATAGCCCTCATTTTATAGATAAGAAAACTGAGGCCTAGGGACTCACCCAAGGATATAGAGGGATGTGAGGAGCAGAATCAGTATTCCAACCCAAGGCCTCTAATACCTCATCTATAAAATTGAAGGGTTTGGTAGAGAAAGGGAATTGGAATTGGGGTGGGGGAGGGGAGAGAATAAGCATTTAGTAGGCACTTTGAGATAATGAAAGGATTCTTAGCTTTGAGTCTGTGACCTTGATTTTTTAAAATTATATTTCAATAATGATATTTCAATATAATTGGTTCCTTTGTAATCTTGTACATTTTATTTTTTGCATTTAAAATATTATTTTGAAGACTCTATAAACTTTATCACACTTCAAAGGAATCCAGAACACCAAAAAAAGGTCTAGAAACCGTGGCTTAGATGTTCTCTAGGTTTCTTCCTTTCTATGTCCAGATCCTTGGAGTTGATGAGGGATATATCTAGATTATGAAATCTAGGAAATTAAAATATCATCTTAAGTGATCAATTTAGGTAATGTCTTCAACTCCCGACAGTAACAGTTATAAAGCCAAATTATGTGAACTTGAACTTATCCTATGTCTTGACCTTCCTCGGGCTGGCTAATGAACAATGAAATGGCTAAAATTCCAGCAGTAGATGGATGTTAAAAAAAAAAAAAAAGAACCGTATGCAGAGAAGAGGTCCCAGCATAAGGTCTCCTATATAATGTTGGCTTTATCTGGTGACTAAAGGCTTACATCTCTGGTGATGGAGGGACTGTAAGGTCCTCGAGCACAGGGACTATCTTCTCCCTTGTTTTATAGCCTCAGCCCTTAGCACGTAGTAGGTGCTCAATAAATGCTTACCAATTGATTGACTGAGTGTGCTGTTACCAGAAACTTAAGGAGGAGAAATATAAGGGCGTTACAGACATAAAAGTTCAAAATGAAAGTTATCTCGTCCAGTGCTATAATATTACAGACAGGAAAACTGAAGCCTACAGTGGTGGATTGCCTCAGTCCACATCAAACAGGAAGTAAAAGGCAGAGGCCTGGGGGCCTCTATCTCTGAATCCAACATGATTCTTACTTATTATACAGCTTCCATGAGTGGAGCAAATTCAGTCTTAGGGCATCCCTTCTTTCCTCTTTCCTGTGGTCAATAGCCATAGAGATCTCATAATGAGGTCAAAACATCTGCAGTGATGAATTTCCAGGCAGAGTTACTGCCTATAAGGTTGCAACATTTTCCTGGTGAGGGATTCCATTCATTTCAGAAAGGTGCTTCGCCAAGTTTCCTTTGGAAAATCTGGGGGAGGAGGCCAAGGAGGGAACTTATTTCCCTATGTGTTCATGCTGAATAGATTGTGTGCTTTCAGAATAAAGAAGTACATTGGATTTTAAATCAGTGGCTTAGTAATGCTAGCCAAGTGGTCTGAAAAGCTTAGCTGAGTCTCTGAACTTAATATAGACAGGCAGCTTTGGTACTGGAAGAATGTGGCTGATTAAGGCATGGATACTTCTCAGAGCTGTAATACGCTGTTGTGCCTGTTAGGCAAGTTTAAGATCACAGGTTCACAGTAACCCATAGTTAGAAGGGGCATCACAGGCCATGTAGGCCAAGTTATACCAGATAAAAGAGCTCTTCTACAGTGTTTTAGAAACTGACCCCCTTGCTTCCCTACCTCAAGCAAGAGGAACCCACTCTCTCCTAAGGAAGTTCATTCCACTTTGGGGCTACCCTAACTGTTGGCAAGTTTTTTGTTTGGTTTTTTGTTTCTGACCCCAAGCTTAAATGTGCTTCTTTTCGATATACACCCATTTGTGCCTACTTCTTATTTCTGGGATCAAACAGAATTCTACTTCATAATGTTTCTCTAAGCTGAGCATCCTCAGTCCTTTTGACTCAACTTCATCTGGCCTGAGCTCAAGCTACTTGCCCATCTTGGCTGACTTCCACTAGACAGACTCCTTCTAGCTTATCAATGTCTTTCCTAAAACCAAATGCCCAGAACTAAACATCATGCTCCTGATGGGGTCTGACTGGGGAAGAGTATAACAGGATTATCATTTATTTATTTCTGGATACATATTTTCTTGACTGCCATAAACTTGTAGCCTACTACACTCATAGATCTGAAAATTCCAGAGGTCAAACCAAACCCCAAATATCTGAAGGTTTTAGAGCCCAAAATATTAATGTAAATGTATTAAACATATTATTGTTGTTGTAACTATGGCTATTCTTAGTAACAATGGTAGTTTCTGGGCATTATCTGTATGTGGTCATTTTATTTTTATTTAAAAATTTCTCCATGCCTGTCTGCCTTATTTGTGCAAGTGTTTACAGATGAACTTGGAAGAAAAACAAACTCAGATAAATAGCTTTCTGTTTGTAGGAAAAAGCAGCCATGCTACCCCTTACTTTGCTCCCAAGGCTATGCAACTAGACCCAACCATCCCCTTCCCCCCAAAGGACCTGTAATGTTGACTTTTTAAAGACCCAGCCCAGGACAAACTTTATGAAGCACATTCTTAGGCTGTGAAAACTAGTTGAAAGAGGTCATCCAGGTGTGACAGCTTATGGCCTTGGTTGTTTCCTGGGTTATTTGTTGTCTCTGCACATGTGTTGATGGTCTGAACAAAATATTGGAAGCATCTGCATTGAATTTATTCTATGGCATGTAAAGGAAAGATGTAATGACATGTCCTTTTTCTTTCCTCCCATAGGTATGGAAAAATTGTTTCCACAAAGGCAATTCTTGACAAAAACACAAATCAATGCAAAGGTATGTGCTAGAGAGCCCCTTCCCCAAGTTGTCTGGTTTATGGAACGCTGGAGTGGACTGATTGCCATTCTGTGGCCACGGCTCCATTGCTCTGGCTCCAGATTGAGCTCTGGCTCTGGCTGTGCAACATCATGCACAGTATATTGCAAACATATTTAATAATGCCGATGCTTTGATGAGTCGTATTTCCAGTAACATTGCTCATTAATTTTTTTCATTAACAAACAAAATGAAAATCACAAATCAGAACAAGTTTCAAATTGCTTCAGCAGAAAACTAAATTACCTCCTAACCACATTGTGTCTTCTGATTTGAATGATATATTCAGTGATGCAGATTGATTTCCTATATGAAAATGAGGGGCCCTTGGGAAAACTCTCCCGTGCGAAACGTGTTTTAATTTCGGTGTTCTGGAAAGCTTTGGCTAAGTTATTGTAAGAGGGTTTTGTAGAGGATCTGTTGAGTCTGGGTTGAAAGTGTCAAACAACCCATAGGATCTGGAAGCTGGGCTCGTTTAGATTCTGTCTTTTTACTGAGTCCTGGAAAATGCTGCAGTGGTTGTTAGAATGTATGTTCCTTCATGTTTGGTATATTCCCCCTTCAAAAAAAGAACATGAAAGGATTATGTTAAATGGCTTATGAAATCACTGTGATTGATATCGAAACACTCGGTTGGGCTGTTCAATTGGAATTCCTCTTCAAACATGTGTTATTTGTTGTACTAATCCAATTGGCAATGCATTATTGGTTTCTGGGATTGGGTTTGAGCCCCAAAAGACTTTGAATGGGCCACACTCACCACTCTTTTACATTTAAATTTAGGCAAGATTAGATGTTAGTAAAGAATGGCCCCCACTTTAATCATCTGGTGCCTTTCCAGTCTTTCAGATGACAAGAACAAAGTAGGGCCAGACCTAGGGGTGGTGATATAATCCAACAAGTGGATAAGCACACACCACTCATTCCACAAGTATATATTAAGACTATTAGTTTCAAGGTACTGTCCTAGAGGCTATGGGGGCAAAGCCTTAACTACGATAGGGAAGACAAGTCTTAGCACCAGGGCTCTCCATTTAGAGGATGTGGGCAATGAGTTTAATCCTTCAAAAGCATGGAAACAACAGAGATTAGCACCTAATTAACAAAAATGATTAGTCAAAATAGGAAACTACTAGATTAGGGATCTCCCATGGGCTCCTCCTCTTCCCTTCCCCATCCCTCCCTTACCCCATGAGGCAGATCAACATCATTGTCCAAAGTATCTCTTCCTACTACCTTTCCTGGTCCCCCTCCTCCATGGAGAGAGATTGCTTATGCTGCTGCACCCATGTAAAATTTTGTAATTTTAATTCTCTGTGAGAGACAAATATGTGTGTGTGTGTATGCATGTATGTATTTATTGATACACATAAATATACACAAGAAATATATGTACACATACATATATATTATAAATATATATTTGAGAACACAATATATATGGGCACACACTTTTTTTTCTGGTTATTTTCCACTTGGCCTACTTATTCTGGCCATACAACGAGAAACAAATATTATGAATCCAAGGAATTTGCATTTTTTTTTAACACGAAGTTAAAGTGTTTTTGTTATTGTTTTTTGCACACACTCCATGGTCAAAGTGGCTGCTCCATTTTATTTAGCAGCAGTGTAGAGAGTCATTGGTGCTGATGAGATGAATGGGCTGCCCCCTTCTGAGGATACAGAGTGGACAAGAGAATTAGCTTCTTCTGCTGGAGCCTTCTCCTTTCCTAACATTTGAGTGGCTTTTGTTCTCTCTGGCGTTTGATTCCTGGGTGAGTTAAGTACAGTAGTCGGGCCCAGGCACACACTTGGATTCACTTCCTTTCAATCTGGAATAGGTCCCCTGGGAAATCTTTCAATAGAACCTCTCATTTCCAAGATTGTCTTCCTTGGGTGGTGGCAGCGACAGCTTTCATTCTCTAGAAACCGGGCAACATAAAACAACACGGTGTCTGGCCAGACAAAATGGCCAGAAATCACTGAACAAAGCCCCGCCGTGGCCACATGTGGAGAGTAATGAGAAACAGACCATGATTCATAGGGAGGTTCAAGCACCAAGTCAAGCCCAGGCTCACCCAAGAGCAGGCACAGAGATTTGCTGTTTGCGATTTCCTCCAAGGCCTGATGTCTTCGCTAATTTTAAAAGTCAGGGGAAAGTCAATGAAAGAAGCTATTGAAAGTAATGTGCAAACCTTCAATGCATCCCCTGGTCTCCCCTTCCCTCCCTCCCATTCCTTAGAATGGCTCCTTTTTGATAGGACTGTGTGTCTGGAGCCCAGGGGATGAGTAATGGATATTTCATAGTACAGTTTCCATACCTCATAGCAATGGAATACAGCATGGCTGGGCTGCCAAGCACACAGGCTTATTTCTGAGAGTCAGCAGTGCTCTCTCTTCCACCCTGGCTCACAGGCTGCCATTAATTACATTCATGGTTGCTTATGCTGCCCCGAACAGTGAGACCCTAAAAATCAGGGGTTGATTAAACACACAGACGTCTTAAAATCTGACACTAGGAATGTTGTTCACTATTTAAGAGATGAATTCATAAATTATTCTTTTCCTCGGGAAGATAAGTCTACCGTAATTTTTTTTTATGTTGTAGCAAAAGGTTAGAGGTAATGAGGAAAAGCCCACCCAGTCTTCTTGTAGGGAGGGTGTAATAATGTTCTGGAGCTGAACTGAGGTAGAAATCACACATACACACACACATACACACACACACACACACACACACACACACACACACACACACACACATGAAAAGGGGTGGGAGGCCAAAGGAAATAAGCATTCATTAAGCCCCTACTATGATAGGCATTGTGCTAAGTGCTTTGCAAATATCTCATTTAATCCTCACAACAACCTTGGGATGTAGGTGCTATTATTATCCCCATTTTACAACTGAGGAAACTGAGGTGGAGATTAAATGACTTACTCAGGGTCATATACCTAATAAGTTTCTAAGATCAGATTTGAACTCAGATCTTCCTGACTCTAGGCCCAGCATTCTATCCAGGGCATAACTTAGCTCCTTGGAAGCATAAAATCTGAGAGGGGATTCCAAAGCAGTCCCCGCCCCCCCCCACACACTCTAACCTCCTTCCTCTTGTAGGCACCTTCTTTTACAACATCTCATGAAGTCATCACCTGTCCTGTACTTGGAGACTTCTTGGACCAGACTGTATATCAAGGCAGTCCTTGACTCTTCTTCTTATTAAACCACAATTGGCTCTTGAGTAAATTCCCTCTGTCCTTTGGTCCTACTTATGTTAACTGGAGCTTCAAGAAAAGGGAGAAGGAAAGTCTAATTACTCTTCTGAACAAAAACCCATTGAACATTGACTATGACAATCATGTTTCTCCTAGTTTTTTTCTTTGATGATTTGTTCATTCTACCAGCATTTACCAAGGGCTAAACATGTGCCAGGCATGATGCCAAACATCTGAGAGAAAGGATGAAAGCCAAATACTCCCTGCCCTCAAGAAGTTCATGTTCTGTTAGGGAAAAACAAAGTTGTCTTTAGTAAAGATTGCTGGATTGAGATTAGAAGGCCAGCTTTGTCACTTGTGAGCTTTGTGACTTTCAACAAGTCGTGTTAACACATGGAGCCTCTTTTTCCTCATTGATATCATGGGGAAATTGGACTAGGTGGCCTCTCAGATCACTCCTTGGTCTAAATCTATGATGCTGAGTAAGTATAAAAATGCATGCAAAGTGATTGGAATGCTGTAGGGTCGGGTGGCAGCACTTTGGGGGAATAAGGAAATCTCATAGAGGAGATAGCTTTTGAGGTAAGCTTTGAAAATACCCTGGCAGAGACAAGGAGGCAAACACAGATTAATCATCTCTAACTCTTCCTTCATGGGATGGGATTTGGAATCCCCTTACCATCATGGCTGACTTCCTTGGCCAGCACTGTTCCTCCTAGAACTGGACACAGGTTTGAAGTTCTTGAGATAACACTTGGTGGGGCCAAGGTTCTTCACCTGTTTTGTGTTATGGACCCCTGGGGCAGCTCTGGTGAATTTGAGGAGCCCTTCTCAGTACTTTAAGTATATACAATAAAATGAGTAAGGTCACAAAAGAAACCAATTATATTGTAATCCTGTTATCAAAATATTTAATTAAAAAAAATTCATGAACCCCAGGTTAGGAACTCCTGCTATGGAGCAAGTATCCCACTGAAAGGAAAGACAACAATTCCATCTCAGTTGGGATGCTGACCTCATGTTTTATTAACCTTTTGGAGGGTGTGGGGCTCAGCCATATTATATTTTTGACTCATTGAACTCAAAATCAACTAAAACTACTAGACTTTTTTTTTTTTCAGATAAGAGCCAGCATAGCATATTGGTTAAAGGTCTGGCCTCAAAGAGAGGAAGACTCAAGTTCAGGTCTGTCTCTAACAAATACGGGCTATGACCCTGGGAGATTTTCTTAATTTCTCAGTGTTATCAAGCAACTCTCTTAAGAATATAAATTGCGTAACAATTGACGATCTGTATCTGCAAAGAGAATTCCCTTACTGCCAGTTCATTACATCAATAAAATGATAGTTGCAGACTCTCCAAAATATTGGGAGGTTAAATCAGGCCTGTACTTATGGAATTGATTTTTGTAAGACTTCAACTCAGAGTCTGATTTTACATTGTTTACATTGTTCCCTATTAAATCTCCTCTTGTTAATATTTGGGCTAATTGTTTTAGGTTGTTGAAATCTTTGAGAATTTCAATTTAGTCACCTAATCAATGATCTCATTAGTATTATGTAATAGGATGATTTGCTGATTATGCCATCTATGACTTTAGCCAAGTCAAAGCTACACATGGAGAGCAGGAAATGATAAGCTGGGGAAGCACTTAACGCTGGTCAGTTCTTATTTGAATTTGAAATTGGAGGACAGAGTCCTGTGGTAATCCACTAGAGACACCCCTCCCAAACCTCGTCACCTAG